CCACAATCTCAAGAAATGCAAAGTTATTCTCTTGAACAAAAATAAAGCGGTGAAGTATGATTTGAAATGAAAGGACAAAAATAAAAAAATTCATAGTTTTGTAATTACAGTGAGAAGAAATTGAATACTGGTAAAGCATGCAAGTTAAAACTGTACTCATTCTGCAAGAATGACAATGAATGTCAGCAAAACTGAAAATTATTACGAATAAAATCAATTATGATCAGAACAAAGTGAATCGTAATTGGTAAAGTGTATCTAAAATTCTTTGACATTTAAAAAAATGACAAATTAATAATTCAAGTATAAACTGATATTATTCTCAGTACTTCAACTGGAATTTGAAATTTTGCTTATTTATCCCTTAAGAATACAAATGACGCAGAAATCATTAATTTCTACACTCTCAAATACAGTTTTTGTTATATGTGCATTTAAAATCTATCATAAATGAAGGGAAAAAAAATATACAAATTGAATCAATGCAATAAGCATAGGCATGACCCATAAAGACGTTGAAATGCATAGGTGAAATCAAGAACAACAATCACTGCTTGGCATCTCACTGAATAAGTAGATGTGGTGAGATTACAGTGCTAACAAGTAGCTGAGATTGAATCATAATTACATTAGAATAGACGAATTCGGAAGAGGAGTGCAGACTAAATAAAAATTTGATAAGACAGAATTAACACCAGAGAAGAGAAGTAATAGTATTAGAGTGAAATGGAAAACATAAATACATTATAAAAGTGGAGAAGAGAAAATTGAAAATGTAGTACATTGCCTCGACCAGCATTGCTAAGGGAAAACAACAATAATTATAATCTGGTAACGGAATCTGATGGAACTATGCTTTATAAAAGTAAAGATTACAAATGAGAGAGCGTATGAATACAAACTGTAATGACTACAGTACGAACTTATTCACAACAAAGATGTTGCAACAGAGACCTGAACACTCACAGAGCACTGTTGTCCTCGCCTGAGCTCTGATCGGTGAATGCGCGTCTCGACTGTAGCTGTTATGAATGAATGAAGGAATGACTTTGGCTTACTAGCTTGCCTCCTTGTCAGAGGTCAATCTTTCTTTGCTTGCTGTTTGCATCTCCGCCCTCTTTTGTCTCATACAATCTCTCTGCATGGCTCATTTTATCCCTTCAAGTCATACTTTTCTGTACTTAGTTGCTGCAGTTTCCACAAAACACGCCAGTTTCGTTCGTGTTATTTAGTGGATCAGATACATACTTTCATGTAACTCTCACGTAAGATCAAAAAAATGCAAAGTAGTAAAGTTGTTCAGAAATGAAAGATTATCTATATTCATTACTACTATATGCTTGTTCAATTCGCATAAATTTTCATTCATCGATCAGATAAGTTCTTAGAAATCAATTCGCCAGAATTTTTAGTAAATGCTCGCTATCACCAGTGTTTTTCGCAGCTTCAGGCATTCGTAGCTGTGCTTTGTGTTCTACTAATGTCGCCGCTACTACTATCAGTGCTTCCTATTGTTGCCATTTGTTAACAAATCATTGCAAATTTCTTTCTATTAACTACCTAATTTGAGTAATGTAATTGCAAAGTTAGAAAGAAGTAGAATAAATTCAAGTGTTTATTTTACTACTTTAATCTGAATCAACGTTTCAGAATACTTGCATGAAAAGTTACGTGAATGCATGCATAATGTGCAGCTAATTTAATAGCAACTGATATCACTTAGCTCTTGTCTTAAGACGTTCCTTGACAACAGAAATTTATAACTGATATTAGAATTAAATTTTTATAATAGCGCATTTTTAATGCTGTAAGTATGTGGCATGGTTGTGTTTTACTACACTTTGTATTGTGCTTCACACTGCTCTTTCTACTAGCAATTAACAACGTTGGATTTCCATACGTTTCAATTCTAACTCTTTTTCTTCTTCATTTTTTTGCCATATTTTTTAAATTGTCTTCAATTAAATTGTTCATTTATTCTTGCTAATTCAGAAAGTTGCGCGAAATCTCGCGCATATTTTTCATTCTGGAAAATCGTTAGTATTATAGTGATATCACATTAACAGATGAAATAACAAATTCAAAATGCTGCTGCTAATTATAGGGCAAGAGTATGCTCTCATGCAATTTAACTGCTTACAATAACAAGCAAATATTAGAGCAGAATATTTCTATTGAACAGATGTCAAAATGCTTGCAAGAAATACGAACGAATAAATTCATGCTAATTAAGATTGCAAATGACGATAAGAGCAATAACTTTATTCCATTACTTTATATATTCAACCAACCGCTTGGTGAGTTTTCCAAATGACATATTTCTCTATCATAAATATATTTCAAAATTCGAAATCTGATATCAATAGAGATTAAATATTCTGTAAAATCTACATCATTTTGCTAATTTCGGCCCTGGAATATAGTTTGCAAGTTAATTTATTCACACTTCACAGGTATTTTCGCATTATATATTTATTATATGAATTTATATATGAATTATTACATGAATTTAAATATTTAAACTTGTGTGTAAATAATGCATTGAAATCTGTTAATTTATTACTCTGTAACTGAACTTTTTCAACAGTAAAATTACTTTCATCGTATTTTTATTAGCTCATTCCAATGGCTAAATTAGTATTAGATTCAGTGATAATTTCAGGCTGTCATTTCATTCATAAGGATATCAGTTTGTTACAGTACCAAAGAATACTGTATGCTATGGCAACGACACGTTAATCAAAATCCGTAATGTGACAGTGATATGTGATGAAACCTTCCGAATTACGGGTTTCTTGTTTATTTTAAAATTCGATAACTTCTTTGGAGTAAAATGAATTTCTTGTTTGTTTATGATGACAGTAAATAGTCGTAATCTTTTTTCTGCTAGTCAAAAAAGTTAAAATAGTTTTAGCTTTCGCCTAATTACACCTGAATATGCATCGTAATGGCATATTTATGTAGATAGCTAGAATCCAGCGCATTTTGTCTTTAATAAATTAATCTCCTTCTTTTGAGTGAAAAAAAAATACTACTGTTGACTGCATATTATAATTAATTGCTATTACTAGCTTATTTTCAGATAACGGAAACATGACCAATGAGTGGAATATTACGAGTTTGAATATGATCGATGACTGGAATACTCTGATGAACTGGAATATCACTAATAATTATGATGTAAATTTGTTTTGTTTTATTCATTTTATTTGCTAATTATTAGAAGCATTTAAGAGGCAAGTTAATATAAAAAAATGAAATTGAGAATTTCTCGTCAGTTTTTGAAAATATTCTTTTTAGATGTAAACAGCCACTTACAATTATTTTATTTACAATAAATGCTTTTTTAATCAAAAAAAAATTAAATTTACAGTCTTGAGTGATGTATGGACTTTATGCAAAATATTTTCCAGATTTGGAATGGTTCAGTTTTGTCTTCTATTAACTATACATCAGCAACAGAGGTTTATTTTCAAACTTATGGAAATTTTCAAGTGTAAATTATTTTGGAAGTAAAGATTTTACTAAAGATTAAAAGTTCTATTATTTAACAGTTAGATGAAATCTTAATCTAAAATAACATTAAATAGCTCAAGATATAATTTAGAAATTTGACAGTAACTTAAAAATCTAAAAATAGCTCAGAAAATTTATTTTTATCAGGCATCCTCAACTAAGAAATGGAGTCGGATAGTCCGTGTAGGAATAGCTGGATTTAGTATATTTCTTGCTGTGATAATTATCATAAGTGTTTCTTTCTTCGTCATTGTTTGTTCAAAATGTATTCAACGATTATTGATAATCCAACGGATGCCTCATCCTCAATATACTATCATAAAATACATTCCTAGGGACGGTGCGATCGTAAGATTTTATGACTTAGTAATTCAGATAGTATGACTAACAAGTTTCTGTCGGATAAAATTATAGAGTTGAACTAGAAGCATTATCCATATGCAACAATTATTTGCAAATAAAATACTTCATTAGAGGAAGATGAAACGCAAGAATCAAGTCAGAGGAGTCCAGCAATTCATTGTCAGAAGAAAATATCGGCTTCAAAGTTATTGCATTTAAAAGAGATACGATAACCATGCAGTAATTATATTTTTTAAATTTCATACAAAACTGAAAGCATTTGTTAAAATGTACCTCATATAAAAGTTATTTTGTCTTGAAATGTAATTGGTTTTTTTGTAAAAAATTTGTATTTTTTGACGGAGATTTCTTGCATATGAAGTTAATTTAGTAGATGAAATGAAATACAAAGTCTTCAAAAAATTGAATTAATGGCTATAGGACAATGATGCTTCAGGATATATTTCATTGGCTTTCATCCAAAATTCTGTAATTCTATCTCTCATTTCTACGATCAATTTGATCGAGATAGAATTACAGAAGTTATTCTGCTATATTCGTGCCATGCATGTTTATCTTCACTTTCTTACCTTATTTTGTCTTCGTTTCTTCAGAAGTACTGCATGGGATGACATGACCATTGTCGTTATGGTCTGTTACTTCTCTGTGCTTCTTGGAAGTTGCCTGTGATGTGGAACGTTCATCAGAGACTCGTTCCCAGCCATTGATAACTGATCTATTTAAATGCTGGAGTGCTCTCTTGTATTACTACCATTTCCACCGTTGTAGCGTCGTTTACTGTATACCATTATGTTTGTTGTCGCAACTGATCGCACTGGTTTTTCCGCCATTCATTTCCATCGTCGCATCATGACACATATCTATCAAATTATAAAACAATCTATTTTAAAGTCTTAACTTTGATTACAGTTTAATTTAGTTGTATATCATTTTATACAAAATATTGCAGTGATTTTTGCACAATGACTAGATCTCAAATAATGAGATCTCTTAAAAAGACGATTAAATGCTGCCAGTCAAAACAACATATCTGAAATATGAGTCGAGCGAAAGTTCATTAGCTTGCAGCGATTGAGAAAATCTTTGCCTCTAAAATCTGAAGTGACTAGCGAACGTCTATATTTAAGGAAAATATTTCATTGATTGATTGATCCAAATTCTCCGCTACGAAAGCGAAGAATTTGGAGTCATTCATTCAGAGCATCAGTTGCTTCTGTATTGAAAAGTGGGTTCACCCTTCAGAAAATTCAAAATGTTACTCAGTGAAGTTATTGCTGATTTCACGTCTTCCTATTTTTTATATATGCAAAAAATTATATTTACGAATAACTCTGGAGCAGAATTAATGGTTCAGACTGTCATGTGAAAATACCTTCTGTAATTCAGCAAATCCCCATTTGTGACATTCATTTCTTTAATACAGCCATAAATGATTCTTTGAATGGTCCCATCATCGTCATTAACTGATAAACAATCAGTCTGACTTGCTGACTTATGAATTTCATCTTCTAAAATTATTTATTACTTAAAGCCTCCATCACTTTTTCTTTCACGTATTTATAATCGATCATGCAAAGTTAACACTTCAATATCATTGAATCAAAGTCTCATCTGTCGGTGCGCCAGTCATTCTTTGATAAGACCCACGATAAAATCAGTGCCAAGCAGTTCATTTTCTGCAGAATTGTCATTTATCTGTAATCTTACCAAAAACTAATTTAGGCACTAATTCAATCAATCAACAAAACTATTAGTAATTTTAGCGATTAATAGAATTGCAGTTCTGAAATTAAATTAAGAAAATGTAACCTTTCACAATATGGATTTGTATTGAGAGCAAAATTGAAAACAAAATCAAAATATTATAACACTTCAAGCTCACAAAGTAATGTAATCACGCCGATGCCTGCAGAAGTTATATTTGACTTGAATAGTAAGCAATCATTCTTATAAATAGATCAGTGTAGTCCGATCAGAAATCAATATGCCAAATGTTTGTATTCGAACTCATTACAAACACCGTAAAATTTTGATGCCTACTGCTTCTTCCACAAAAAGGTTGCCAAAAAGGTTCATTTTCTGAGTGCACGTGTCTTTGAGTATAGATCACAGTGAAGTTTGGTCAAAGGAAATTTGAGATTTAAAATAAAATTCCTGCTAGGAAAGAATAAATAAAATGAATTAAAAAATTACAGAAAAAAATTAATGGCTATAAAAATTAAATTAATGGCTATAGGACAATGATGCTATAGGACAATAATAAAAGGAATGTCGACAAAAATCACTTTCAAAGCATACAAAGCTAACTATGAATATGCATCACAGTGGCAGTTGCTACAGCTTGAATCGTTGATTGCATGCTGTAATGATAATCACAGCATAGATGAAAGTTATCATTGATTTGTTTGATAAAATATCCAAATTAATCTGATTCCAATTGGTTTATGATGAGCTTTTCAAGAATCTTTTAGTTTGGTATTTAATTATCGAAAGCTTACTTATTCACACTGAAAACGATATCATAAACAGTTGCTTCTATTCTTGTGAAAGCAAACATTTTCTGAGCTATTCCTGTTATTTACTCATTTTAAGGCTTGCAATTTCGCCATACTCTCTACCGCTTAAAATACGTGAAATGTAGTCCTTCATCAAAGAATTGAAATGCGAAATCTTACACAAGTCAAAAAGTTATATTAAGAATTAGTTGCAGTATACATCTATAAACATTATTATATAAAAAATAACGCCGACATTCCAAGGGGTCTTGTGGTGTAGTGGTTATCACGTCTGCTTCACACGCAGAAGGTCGCCGGTTCGAGCCCGGCCAAGACCTATTTTTCGCCTGCTGATTTCGGCACTTTTGCTTTAACTCTAGTTCAACTCAACTCCTTCTCTAATGAAAATGGATTGTAGATTTAAACTAATTCCTTGTCACTGAAACAAGATTGCTATTATCTATTATTCCTATGAAACGTTGTGGTATTTGGGAAGAAGTCACGCGAGTATACGAGTAATTTCAAGCTAGCAAGAGACTTAACAAAACTGCAAGTATGGAAAGAACTTACTGCATTTTCTTTCTTTCATTACATCCTGTATGTGCTGGACTCTAGACAATTTAAAAAATGGACAATAAAAGTATTCAAGCAAATTAAAGCAATTTAAATTAAGTATTAAAAAAAGATCGTGTTCAGAAATACCAGATACTGCGGGAATTTGAAAGTGTAATTAAAAATACTAAGTGAAACTTCATGAGATGAAATGTACGTAAACGAATACTTGTGTTATGCTGTTGGCACACGTTTCCTAATATAACTTATGTTTATTAGAGTATTAAAACAAAATATCTTTTGTACGGCCGCAAAACTTAATCCAACTCAGCAATAATGGATATGGAATCAGCACTGAAAATAAAAGCAGAAATTGAAGATGTATTACAACCATAATTAACATACATATTAATGTACTGACTGCTCGGCTTTGCCGAAGTACTGGGCGGTTGGCTCTAAGGTTGGCTCTGAACGGCTGTGTTCGTTTCGCATCTGGAACCATAAATGAAAACGATGCAAAAACAGATGCGGTTGGGAAAAGCTATGTGAGGGGTGTAAAAGAACATACTGCCAGTGTACCGGAATCCGGTGCCAGAAAAATGATCACGCTTGAAGCACTCGTCCGTGGAATCGAAATCTCCCGAAGCAGGTATCCAGGAGAAATGCTGAAAGCGATCCTTGACTGATTTGGAAGAATGCCGAGAGAGAATTGTCTATTGTGTTGTTTCCCGTATAGCGAGAACTTTTTGTGCGCTATTATTACCTTCGAATTCTGTGATGAACAATATTGCAGGTCATCCATGCCTACAGGACGGTTCTTGGAGGAGTCAACAAAACGTGTCAAAGTACTAGATACGTACTTCGAGCAAAACGCGTTATAAGAGTCTAAGGTTTATCTAGATGTGAAGGATAATTATCTAGTGCTGATGCAAGAGGTACAGAGACGTGAGATAAACCAGACAAAGTGGACGCGGAAAATAACATCGGAGAGCGTGGACCCGCTTATACTTGGAGCAGTAAATCAAGCGGTGGGTGAGTATGCCAAACAGAATCCCAAGTCAATGACCGATATTGCAATGCAGCTCTAGGTAACACAACAGTGTTATGAAGATATGATAAGGCTAGAGAAGAAGCCATCGGGGTGGAAGGCAAGCACAGTAAAGAAGGTAAGCTTGCTAAATTTCTGCAAATCCCTCATGGAACGGACTTTGGCCGATAAAAAACTGGCAGGTAAAGACTTAAAAGAGGCCAAGAAGTATATGAAAGCGATGGATGAATCTCATACTTACCCTTAAGTGTGACTGTCATGAAGCGTTAAGCATATTGACAGACCGTGTGAGAGTCTACGAATTGGAAAGCAGCAAGGCTTCATGGAGTTTATAACTTCTTTATAAAAAAGTTCACTTCCTTGCATCCAAACCTGTACAAAATAGTGAGAAGGATTTGTCTGGATAAGGAGGAACAAGATTCGCGGTTCTATAAAGTACTAGCTACTTGATTCCAAAAGGTGTCCCAAGTTCAGGCCAATAACTTGTATGTCGAACTTTTACAAGTTAATAACAAAATGTGTGGCACGTATCATGCAGTTAGATGTTGTCATGAGAAAACTACTTGCAGATGATCAATTAGGAACTGTTATCTAGGTTCAAAGTGTTCAGAAACAGACACTGTTGAATCCAGGGATCTTCTTAGAGCACGGGAACCAGCTTTACACAACGTGGTATGACATCAAAAAAGCGTTCGATTCAGTAAATCATGTATATCTGATTAAGTGCATTGAAAGGCTTAACATGCCACAGTGGATCAGCAGGTTTCTGAAAAGCATCATCTCCAGATGGTCAGTTACATTAAAAAGCAATGTAGAAATTATAATGGAGAAGGAAATAGAGCGAGAATTTTCCAAGGTGATAGCCTTTCTCTGCTGCTGTCCATCCTGTGCATATGGACGTGTTGAGCCGTCTGCTCAATATAAGGTACCCAAAGGTGGCGATTCCAACTGATCAAGGAATGTACATAACGATTCATCTGTTGTCTGTGGACGATCTCAAAATCTTGGTGATCTATGAGATCTACGGGAGAAAAATTTGAAAGGTTTCTTGATGTGGTAGGACTAGAAAAAAATTCAGTAATGTCAGCCACCAACACCGGTATGCGCTGATAAGGCGGCGCTGTTGGAAGGAACTCAGGGGTACACATATACTTGGAATAGTGGACGACAAGACTAGTGCACCTACTCGTGGAAGCTACGATAAAATGTGAGCAGAGATTTTAGTGAGAATTGAGCGACCAGCCAAACCTGCATTAAAAGGTAAGAACTTTATCAAGGTAGTAAATGAGCACTTAATAGAACTAATAAACTACTACACTGGGTGCTGAAACCGGAACCAGAGGACTTCCAAGCCATTGGTCATGATGTCAGACAGTTGCTACTAAATACTGAATTCACATCGAACCTACATGTTTGGAGTGACTGTGCTTGCCAAGGAACGAACTAAGTCGTGGATACCATAATGTTGGACAGGGACTGAGCTTATGCTTCTACAGCTGTATAATGTTCTAGTAGATACCGCAACCATTTGTAACAGAAGGACAGCGATTCTGAAGCAGAAGAAAGCTCATAACACGTTCTTGGCAATTATTGTGCCCTATCTAAAGACTAAGTACAACCTCGCAAAAAATCCTACTGTTGAAAACGTATTAGAAGCCCAGAAGGCGTTCTTGTACAGCGAAATAGAAAAGAAAACCCACAATGCAAAGCTATGCAAAATGTGGACAAATAAAATCTCGTCCATTGTTGATTCATCAAAGTGGCTGCGATACGGAAACATTACCCAGCAAGTTGAGGCACGATACTGTTATCTCCAAGATAGAAATATATTTGGTGGTTAGAAAGGTATGTGTGGCGGTGAACCATCTAGCAACGCAGTGCGAAAAAATGTTGCATCACGACTATACTAGAAAACATAATGAGGTCCTACGATGCATCAATTTCGGACTCTGCAAGAAGTATGGTCTGAAAGCATTCCCGCACTTGCGAATCCATTTTGTTCAGGAGATCGTCGCGAATGAGAATGTTGAGATCAGAGTCGATACGCGAGTGGGAACTGCAATCAGAATAAAAGCGGATCGACCGGATATCACAATACACGATAAGAAGCGACATGAAGTAATCCTGATTGAGGTTGGCATCACTAGTCAGACAGGTTGATAGCAGTCGAGACCGAGAAGAGAAAATATGACCTACTTGCTAATAAGTTTGAGTCAGAGATGAAATGCAGGACCAAAATAATTCCGTATGTGATGAATTGGGATGGGATTTTAACGAACTTCCACAAACGCTATGCGAAGAAGATTAGTTTTCAGACCACGTCGAGGCATACATCCAATCGATAGTTCTCAAGAAGACGCTGGAAGGCATCTCCTTCGACAGTCGATATGGATTCCACGAGGAGGAAGCGAGAACGATCATAAAATCTGAGCGCGGGACAAGTACTGCCAGAGTGCCGCAATTCGATTCAGCGCCAGAACCAATAAAGCGAAAATTAAAACTAACCTCCACATTTTATTTATTTGTTACTGAATAAATAATAAGTATAAAATGTAGAGAGTTGAGAATAATAAATAATTCGAAACAAAGACTGCAGGATTATTTTTTATGATTATTATTGTAGCGAGATCGAAAAAGCTGACGAATTCTTAAACTGATGACAAAATATGGTATGGACGATATACATATCCAAATAATGATCATACTGAAACGGCTAGCACAACTCTCTTAAAACGTAAGTAAATTTAAAGATGAAGCGAAGTCGATAATTATATTTCAATCTTAATTTTCTTATTTTTGCAGGGATGATTGAAAATTTGTTTAATCGAATCAAGCACAAACTGCCTGATAATCAAAGCTTTTCACTGCTTTTTCTATTTCTGGGGAAAAATCAGAGCTTTTGAGCAATCAATTCCAATTTTGCATTTCGGTAGATATCGCATATGAACGCTTAATTTAAAATTTACTTATGATTTTTTAAGTTTTGTGTTTAGAACATCAGAAAATACAAATATATTGAAAGTGTGAGAAGAGATTTTTGAATTAATCGTAGAAATGAAAGCTGTGATTTATCAAGGAACAAGTTAAGTTAACATTTTCAAAGACTTAAAAAGCAATTATCAAAAACCTGATATTCATTAATAAAGGCACTCGGTTAACTTATTGATAAGAAATGTGAAAATATGAGAGCACATACAAATTAGAGTATTTGAATAAAATTAGAATCAAAGTTTAGAAATGATATGGTTTACAGTATTTGCTGTAACATTAATAGAGTATCAGAACATGTCACGAATAATAACTGCAGTGAAAAAGTAAAAGTTGTTTTGCATAGTAGCATAGAGCCAAACTTCATATATTTGAAACTTCGAAAAAATTTTCAAGCTTTTAAGGACTCTGGAATTAAATGACGCTTAATACTTGAAGACTTATCTAATATGTTGTCAGACAGACAATTCAATAAAACTGTAAGCAACGTGATTTACAGCACATCATTGGGTTAACGTGACGACAGCAGTCGATCCCTGCTACAGGCATTATTCCAGTCACCGGAATTTGACTGTGATGTGGTGGATGAGGTAGAATCTGAAATGAAGTAAACGAAGTTAAATCAATTAAAATTTTTAATGAGTGTTTGTTGTAATTATATTTATCATGCATGAAATATAGTGCATTAATGTGAATACAGCTAATAAATAAATAACTGTACTCACATTGATGGATTATTTTTCATCACACATCTGTTCATCCATCATGTAAGGTTTGATTTACAAAAATAATTTTCACTTCAGGTGCATTCAGGTTGACTTCGCATAACAGTTAATTATCAATAGGTAATTCAGGATAATATTTTTCCATTGAAATTATTTATCTTTTGTTTGGTGAACAAATATTCCTAAATTTTCAACCATTTTATCACCTGATATCAATTTAGCATTAAGCTGGAATTTATTTTAGGACTTTACTTTTGTCTGATCTCCAACACGGACCAACGGCTTGTGCAAAGCTTTGTTCTCATCCGAAAATTCACCATAATGAAAGTTATCCCAGCATGTTTCACAGTAATACTGTAAACATGACGTATCACCACAGAAATATGGAGCATAACGTTCTGAACATAGCAAACCTTCACATTCATCACACATTTGCTCGTCCATCATGTAAGGTTTGATTTCAACCTGCAATGGCAATATTTACATTAATCGTTGCTGTTGACCCATAAAACTTATGTACTAAAATTTTTTCTCTCAACACACAGAATTTCGATCATGCATGAAAAATAATACATCTTGTATAATTTAACAAAAAAATTCATAGTAACTTTTGTTGCTCCTCCAAAACTAAGGAGTAATCGAATTTATAAAAATTAGGATTTCGGATATCTTTTGGATACAGAATAGGCTATTCTTGCTCATTATCAAAATGGTCATGAAAAATATGCAGAAAACATAAAAATTTGTAATAAGATCTTTGATAATATTTAGTTTTTATTCTGAGTCAGATTATGGAATCTCTAATCATGAATTCCATATTTTTCCCTTATTCATTAATACATATTGTAAAAAATAAAAAAAAAACAAAAAAATAAGCTCTATTAATTACTAAAGCTAGCACTAACTCGCTTGAATACATCAGCGTGCGGGATATTTACAAATCGTCCACTGATAGCTGTAATGAAAGCTTGTTCAGTGGAAAAAGTGACTCGTGCAGCTCCTTTAGGATATTTTAATTCCGGGTCAATATCGATTCCAACGTAACAAACGGGTCCATAAAGTTGTTCTAGTATACTTGCCAATTCGCCTGAAAAAATAAAGAAACCTGAACATAACTGAAATTTTCAGCAAAGATTTTTGTAGTAATTCTCAAGTAGCTTAAAAACGCAACAACATACGTGCTTTTGTAGGTCTCGGAACACCCCCAATAAAAATAGTACGTCTCGGATTAAGTATGAAATTCTCCCCGAGCACGTATTCCATATCAATCAAACGCCATGGTCGGACTTGCACCTGTAGTATTTTTATCCTCATTCATTTTAATTTTAATTGAAGTTCCATATCTTAACTTTCAACTGTCAAAAAAGAGAAAAATATCATACCGGTTTATCACGCATAGTGGGACTGGAAACAAACAAATAGTACTTTTCATCCTCTTTATGGCATTTATTGACTAACGACTGCACTGAACTCTCATCTTCGAATACGAGAAACACGTACCCGGTCATGTAACGAGCTGCAAATCACGTCATATATGTAGTGCTACGTTAATTTGCGGTTAGCATATAAAATGTCTGACAAGCAAATCGACGGCAAATTGAAAAAAATGTACACCTGTAATCATGAAAGCAATAGGAAAGCAGATTTGGTTGTAAGAACTCCGTGAAAAGATGTGGAAGAACACTCCGCCTTTGTATCAGGACCATGTACAAGAAGGATTATTACGCTTAAAACACTCATCTCTGAACTTTAGAGCAGATGCTGAAGGCGGTTTTTGACTATTTTCGAGAGGATGCAGAGATGAAGATGGGTCTTGTATAATAGGATAATAGGTGAATATCTTTATCATTCACTGACAAGAAGGTATGCGCCTGATAAGGCAATGCTTAGGAATTCAAGAATACAACTACTTTGGATTAACGGAAGCACAAGTTCATTGATTCGCGAAAGCTATGATAAAATCAGAGTAAAAATTTTATTGAAAATTAAAAGTTTAGCCAAAACTGCACTAATCTGGACAAACCTTATCGAACGTATAAACAAGAAGCTATTATAGTAGAGCATCCAAACTGGACTGGAAGAATTCGAAGCAAGAGACAGTGATATCAGGGGCAGTTACTGAATAAGTTAACAGTCAACCTGAATGTTTAGAAAGACTGTATCTGTCAAGGGACGAGCTAGGAGGTTAAGCCTCACTGCATTAAGCAGAGAAGTGAGTTTATGCTTTTTTAACTTCATTTTGCATTTGAGCAAGCACGATATCCAGGAGGGCGGTTTTAAAGCAGAAGAAAGCTCACAGCACGTAATAAGCAATTATTGCACTCTATCTAAACATTAGATATAAAATCGCAAGAAATCCTGCCGTTGAAAACGTATTAACAGCTCAAAAGCACTCCTTTATAGCAAAATAGAAAAGAAAACCCTTATGCAAAGCTATACAAGATGCGGACGAATGAAATCTCATCCATAGCTGATTCATCCATATGGCTACGATACGAAAACATTGCCCCGCAAGATGAAGCACGATACTGTAAACTCCATGATAAAAATATGTTTGGAGCTGAGAAAGTATGTGTCAGCATTGTAGGGAACGAGTACGAGTAAAGACGATGGGCCATCTAGCGACGCTGTGCAAGAAAATGTTATATCATGACTATACGAGAAGACACAATGAAGTCCTATAATGTATTTATTTAGGACTCTGCAAAAAGTACGGTCTAAAAGCATTCCCACCACGTATGCTGAATTATTCTATTCAAGAAATCATCTTTTATGAGAATGTAGAAATCAGGGCTGATACGCGAGTAACAACTGCAATTAGAATAAGAGCGGATTGACCAGATATCTTGGTGCATGATAAGAAACTACATGAAGTACTCCTGATAGAGGTTGGAATCACTAGTCCGGACAGGATGATAGCAATCAAAATCGAGAAAAAACGCAAATATCACCTACCGACTAATAAACTTGAATCAGAGATGGAGTGCAGACCAAAATAATTCCGTATGTAAACTTGGGATGGGATAAACTTCTATGAACACCTCGACATGATCAGATCCTTCTCAGGAAATCAGTATATCTGATCATGTCGAGGCATATATTCAGACGATGGTGCTCAAGACGATGTTCGAAGCATCTCCTTCAATCAGCGCCGTGGATTCGACGAGAACGAAGCAGCGGAGATCATCATAGCAGAACGGAACGCAGGGCGAATGCAGCGAGAATCCCAAAATACAATCTAGCGCCAGAATTAATAGTGCAGAAAAGAAGAATCACCTCCGCGTGATATTGATTTGACTTAATATATACTTTTTTTCTTGGAATTATTTTTCATTCGTTCATTTCGTTTTTCGTCCGGAATGTTTAATTACTGCTCAAATGTGCTAAATATGTAAATTCGCAATGAGATAAAAGTAATAAAATGGTAGTTATAGTTCAAATTATTCAAATAACATCTTACTACTATAAAAATAACTTGTGCAAGCAATATAATATAAGAGTCAGTTCATTGTTTGTCACCTGTGTCAGGTCGACGAGGCCAATCAACGAGCACTGGACCAAACTGGGAAAAAGTAGAAGTTATTTCCTCTGCAAAGTGTGAAACCATTTTCATGATAAAAACAAATTTCCTTTCAAAAGTTTATACTTAAGTAACTGAATTGTGACAAGTGCAAATACACAACAAACAGTGATAAAGATGGTATTTGTAAAAACTGGAGCACAGCTCTGATAATATCAGCATCAAAATGAACAGTATGGATGTACGAAATTTAAAATCATAGTACTACAACTGTTTTTTACCTTCTGTGACATCGATAGGAAGTCCACCAACGAAAACTTTTCGTGCAAAAATTTCCATCGTTTCATCCATCACAAAATATGCTTCAGGAGCCGACGGAACACCAGGATTTCGCATTATACTTTTTCCACCACACTTCTTTTCTGTTTTTCCTGAAACGATCGATATTTGACATAATATAAATTATTGCCTCGAACATTTTCATTTTGCTTATTTTATGAGATCTTACATTTATATATCCA